TTCCTTCCTTCAATCTCCTGGCAATCTGAATAGGTATTTTGGTCATTTCTCATTTCCATGACCACAGGGGTCAGAATAACCACAAAACCTAGTGGAAACCACGAGAGGGTCCAAAGGGAGCACTCCCTCTCCCTCACTCTCGAGATCTCCCATATGAGGTGCGGACCAAAGGGAAAACCCTGCTGCCCAGGGAGGTTGCCTCCCAGCTCTGCCTAGTGGAGGAGAAACGATCTTGCTGCACAAACATTTTTGTGGGGGAAAGAAAGCATCAGAGGCAAGACAGAGAAGGCTTAGGGAGTACAAACTCCGGGATTCTAGAGGTCCATCTAGAGAGCAAGCCTCAACCCAAGCATCAAGCTCATGTTCTTCTTCTTGGAGACGAGGCAAACAGAAGAAACAGAACAGGAGCCTGGCCATGCCTTCACCTCTAGCTTTGCTCCAACCACAGCTGCATCCTTTGGGCTATATGCACCAGGACGACACAGGCACCGTCCAATGAGGCATAAGAATGAGAGCAAGGTTCCTCCTACAGCTAGAATTTGGAGGACATACTGACACCACAAAGGTGGAGTTACAAGATCTATACCTGTACAGCTTGAAGGAGAGACAGAAACCAATCACGATGCGACTCGTTTCACTCTGAGGAGCATTTACTGAGCACCTCCAACCTCAAGGGCCACTGCTATGCAATGTGTAACACTAGGAAGTAAAATATGTTTAGGCCCTTTGGATCCTCTAAAGGAAACACGCTGGACCATCCTAAAAGTTGTACTGTTGTTTGTCTAATGATGGAATCATAAACTAGTATTTATGAGACTCCAAGAAAAAAATACAGACACCCAACTGGAATAAGCAGAACTATAATGGGAGCTTGAGGAAGGTTTTACATAAGAGGGAATATTTCCACTGGTCCTTAAAGAATGCTACGTCATCAAGAGGAGAAGGTGAGCAAAGGAATCTCAGAAAATAATCAACTTTCCCACATGCATGAGTGACACTTGATGACACATCTGGGGAACAATGAAGAGATTCAAATGACATGCAGAAATTGATACCAAAGATGGCACCGGAGAGCAAAGTTTTCAGGAAGCAAAGGGCAGCAGGCTTCTAGGTAAGCTCTGGAGAGATCCCAGGGAAGGGATCCTAAGATCAAGGTGTGAAGGTAATTCCACCATCACTGTGGAGAAGGGGCTAATGCTGGGAGGTGCTGAGGCAGGGGAACATAGGAAAGCATTCAGTCCTAAGGGTAGTCTCCAAACCTGAAGGTACCTGATCCAGGAGATGGTATGTGCCCCTTGCTTTTCCCTCACTGGGATTCATAATTGAAGCTGTCAGCTGACTGTGGCCACAGGGAAGGTGGGTGGAAGTCTACTGTTTAGTTTGTTTAGGTTTTGGTTGGGATTCTTGTTGTTTACAGGGAGGGTCTCACTGTGTAGCCCTGTCTAACCTGGAACTGTAAACCTCAAACTTACAGCCTGAGTGCTGGGATTAAAGGTGTGTGCCATCATACCCATCTAGTACTTAGGATTTGTTTTGGTTGGTTTTGGGTTTTGGTTTAATGTTTTGGTGGACTATTTGTTTTTAATAAAAGAAAGTGTTTAATTGGGCTTGCAGCTCCAGAAGGTTGGAGTCCATGATGGTGGACCGAAGGTATCTTTGGGAGGAACATTTGAGAATTTACAACTCAATAACATGACCTGTCTATGTAGATCAGGTAGGTGGGCCTCCAATTTGCAAAAACCCTCTTGCCTCGCCCTTCTGAGGGCCGGGATTATCACCATATGCTACCACACCCAACAAACCTACTTCTAACCACTTACTGTATGTTTGCAAGAAGCCCTAGAGGAGGCAGCTGGGATTGACAAAGCTTTCACAGTCTGGGCTCAATTCCCTGCAATATTGTCCTAGTCAGAGTACTTCCCACCCTGTTCCAGGCTCTGTACTAGCACTAGGGTGCATGCAGGCAAGGAGACAACCACAGTGAGAGAGAATGACTCCAGAAGTCACTGAAAACATCCAGATGAAAACTCAAGCCAGAGCAAAATCCTACAGGCAACACTGTTGAACCTGGAGTTGGATGCGCTCCTCCTCATCAGCCAATAAACCTCAGGAGCGTCATCTGTCAGTCTAGAAATTGGTCAGCTGGGGCGGACATTCCAGAAGGGCATACAAGGCAATCCTTGGAGCAAGGATCAAATGGTACAGCCTAGACATGAACTAATTCATTCATTACATTCTACAGAAATACTTACTTGGATGCATATTTTATCTTAGGGTATATATAAACTATAACTTCTATATATAACCTAAAATAATTTAAAATTCATATCTTGAGATGAATACTCATTGAAGGAAAAGCTACCTTTTTAGGTAGGAATGTGTGCTCAGAGAAGTTTGGAGACCATTGCAATAACATGGTACCCACCAGGGATTGTGTTTCATGCCTATAATCTCAGTGCTCAGGAAGACACTGCAGGACTCCATGTGTTCAAAGTTATCCTGGACTATATAATGAGACCCTGTCTCCAAATAAGCAAATAACAATAAAGAAAGACATAAACCTATCATTCCTTCAACCCATTTAAGGGCAGAATTTACCTTCTATATACAACAAAAATGCACTGTATTGTATTCAACTGGGATTGACTTAATTAATTCTAGTGGCGTGTCGAAAATGAAAACAGTAAGAGCATGTCAAATGGAGAATGTCACTTTGCAACTTTTATTTTAAAACTTTTTATATCTAGGTATTACATATATATCTTTGCACTTAAAAGTACTAACAAAACTCATTTAGAAAATAAGTAATTTTACCTAGACCAAGAGCTGAATTTCAAAAGCTAAATTAAATTCTATAGCTAACAAACACTTTTAAATAATTTATTTTCTTTTTTGAGAAGCACTTCTAAAAAGTATTTAAATATCTAAAGCAATTAACCTGTAGTGAAAAATTCTTCCAAAATAGAAAAATCACATCCTATGATATTAAAAAATGGGTTATCAGCAGCCAAGAAATAGAACCAGCCTCATCAACACATGCATGGACAGAGCAAATGAGGCATGTGTTCACAGTGGAGTTATTTAGCTATAAAGAAGCATTGATGTGTCCTTTGCAGCAAAACAGATAGATCTGAAAATCATGCTAAACTAAATAAGGCAAATTTAGACAAAGAACATATTTTCTCATATGCAGAACATAGAGTCATGTGTGTGTGTGCGTATATGTGTGTACATGTGTTATGTGAGTATATATGTGCATGTGTGTATATATATTGTTTACATGCATGCATGTATGTGTGTGCTGTGTGCATGCTTGCATGTGTGCGTGTTTGTATATGTATGTGTACATGTGCATGTGTTGTGTGCATGTATGTATGTATATGTGCATGCATGCATGGACATAAGTATGTGTGTGTGCTCACATGTGTGTATATGATATATGTCATGAAGCTGAAGATATCTAAAGGGAAAGAGACAAAAAGAGATAATGCAGAGGAAAAAAGACAAGTAGCGCATGTTTTCTCTTGCATACAGAATCTGGATTTAACAGTATTTATCATACACACACGTGTATGACAGGAGACCTATGTAAGGGAAGAGAGGGAATGGGAAGAAGGGGAAAGACAAGGATGGGTAATGAAGGGGACATAAACAAAGTTTAACACACATAAAAATATAAGGAAACGTTCTTTTGTACACTAAAATTTAATTCTAAAAACTTTTAAGTGCATAATATATTCAAATCATACAGGACATAATAACCTTGTCATTTATAATACTGGGGTAAAACTTTGCACTACATGTGGGTATACATATTTTAAAAACAGGGTATGGGGCTAGAGAAATGGCTGGGCAGTTAAGAGCACTTGCTGGTTCACAACTATCTGTAACTCCAGTTCCAGAGGCTCTGACGCCCTTTTCAAATCTCTGAAGTCACTGCATACACATGGTGTACATACATACATGCAGACAAAACATTTATACAAAAAGTAAAAAAAAAATCTAAAAGACAAAACTTGGATATGGACAATAAAGAAGTGTATCTAGGGAAAGGTTGTCTTTCGATGCAGCTGAGAATCTCAGAACCTTTCCTCTTCTGGGTTTCCTTTAAATCTCAACTTTTTGTAAGCATCAATCCAAGTTTTCATAGCTCAAGTAACTTGGATTAAATGATCACTTGACCACCACCAACTACAATGAAAAACTCAAGGTTATTCTGTTCAAAACGTTACTGTTAAACTTAGTTCCACACGGGAACTATGGCCTATCTACCATATTCCTATGTTCAGGAAAAGCTAAACCCTGACTGTGTTCCATGCACTGTGATGGGCTCCTACGCTGGAACTGAAGAGATGCAAGAGGGTAAAACCAACCAGCTTCCTGTGGAGCAGAACCAGGGACAGCTATAGCCCAGGACCAGGCCCAGTTCCCATCAACTGGCAGATTCCAGCAAATGCTCCATCACCATCAGGACCTTCCAAGTTAGTAAGGATGGAAAGCAAGACTAGAGAGAAAGGAATTCATAACACTTGCAAATAACCACAAGGCTGCTGGATCCTATGTGCACACAAGACTGTCCGACAATAATTTCCACCTCCATCTCTCCTGCATAATGAAAATCTTATGTTATTCAGAGAAAGGGTTTAGACTCTCGCTGCGTGGCCTATTTCTAGCTTTAATTACAATGCCTGGCAAAGCTTGGGGACCATTTCGATTCATTTCAAAAATAGCTCCCCATTCAATACAAGATGATGGATTTTTCACACTTGTGAATCTTTATTTACTTGATAATGAAGATGGCTTGGCATATAAATAAAGCATTTTCTTGGCAACTCTGGTCTGGTGAAGATGCGGAGTTGCAACGAAAGAGCACGACTCAGAGATTTAAAAACTCCCATTTGACGTGCAGACTCAGTTTCTCTTCTTAGTCAACCTAGCGAACATACAGCTCAACTCGAAGGTGGGACATGGGGACTAACAAAGTGTGGGCCGCCACTTACTGATCCGTACAGCTCTCCCTTCTCATTCATGCCGAGGTAGAGTCCACTGTCCACGCCACGAATGCTGACCAGCCCAACCGCTATACTGATGAATTCCAGAATGCCTGTGAGATCAAGAGCAGACAGAGAGTTAGAGCCCAGAGTACGTCCCCAGAGCCACAGCATTCCCAGGGGCTCCAGAGAGGAAACTGGGCCCAGCTTCCGACTTGGAGCAGTTCATACAAGTTAAGACGTGTATGATGTTCCAACTAAACGCTCTCTTATCATCTTCAGACACTAAACTATCATAGTGGAACATGACTTACATAATAACTAATACAGCTTAAGAATTTTAGAACTCATAACTATATAAACACTGCAAATGATAAGTCTAATGAAACCAATATAATGAGCTAAGAGTGTACTTGGAGACAGAAATGACATATGTAAAATTAAGTATTTATGTATGGTTATCTTGCATTTGTACATACCATCCTCTGGGATTGGGAGAAAGAGACACACGCAACATGAATATTGTGTATATATAAGTGTGTATGTTAGTATATAAATGTATATGTATATGTGCACAAATAATTTTTTAAAATTCTATTGCCTTATGTCTCCAAAGATAATGTGTGGAATGTTAATTAAAGCTTCCATTGGCGTTGCAGAGAATGATCTAGCTCTCAATTGTATAACCTTATTGAGCTCCATTTGAAAAACTAAGGTACACACACACACACACACACACACACCTAAAATATTTGGGCTTCAACAGAGTATAGATTCTTTTTCTGTTACTATCTAAACCTCAAAGAAATAGTTAAGCAATTAAAATAGCCTAATATTCTGGAAGGGAAAATGTTGGTTTAAAAAAAATGCTCCTGATTAAAATAGGCACAGAATACTCTATCCCCGAAGTAAATCAATATAATGATCTCGCTCACTTCCTTGTTTTGCCTTGCTTACCTCACTAAAAATAACAGCACCTAAGCTGGGCATCAGTCCAGAATTTTATGACCACACATCAGCAGCTTCGGTCTCCGTGAGTCTACTGTTGCTTTAAGACGCTCATCCTGCCGGATACACAGATGCTGCTAATCATCTCTGTGCTTGGCCATGCTCCCACTTCGCTTATAAATTAAAGTAGTACACTTCTTGTAGGTCTTATATCAGCGCATACCAAATAATGAGCTCTTATTCTAACATATCTTTAATTATTGACAAAGTATACTTACATCTAAGAATGTAAAAGGAGGGGGGGGAAGTCTATGGAAAAAGGAATTTGTGTGTGCGTATGTGTGATATGTGTGTGTGCACGCGCTAAAGTGAGTCTCCATATATATAGGAAAGAAGGAGAGTGTGTGTGTGTGTGTGTGTGTTTGTGTGTGCTAAAGTCAGTCTCCTGTGACTAATGAAAAAGCACTTATATGGATTTTTAAACAATTAATTTTCCATCTCTTATGGGCTGGACCGGGCTGCCATCAAGTGCAGACTCTGAATCCATAAATCTAATAAAGTAAAGGATTAAGTCCATAGGAAACTCAGTTGCAAGGGATCACCACCCTCATCGACACAGTTTCACTTATTCCTGCACACTCATGAAATGTTACACAGACCCTCGTGTTTATGGCTTACAGATTATGTGCCCACATACAAAAACTTATTCTAAAGTGAGATCATGAATGATAAAGAGGAAAATTACAGATTACCTCTGAACTACTAACCTGTAACTTCCCTAGACAGTCCACCTGACACAGCCAATGAGACTAGACTTCCCTCCTTCACAGAGCAAATGAGAAGATCAAAGAGGCAATTTCTCCTCAGGGTTCACTGCATAGGAGATACGCTTCCTTTTTGATACAGTCATTTTATTTCATGGTACCATTCCTAAAACCCTTATGACTCAAAACAATCAGACCTGGAACACTTTATCGCTATTAGGGGCCACCTACCTATACAAGACTTTCCTCTTGGTACCAAGAAAGTACGCCCTAAGGAAGGTCATGGAAATCCTGAAACCAGCATAAGAACTTACTTTGTTGTCACCTTTCGCTATAAAATTAAAAACAGGAAACATCTCATTCACCTTGAAGTCTGAGCAATTTAATTTACCAGGTCAATGAGGACAGGGTTAACCATAAAACTAAAATCCATTCATGTCCTCTGAGAGGCCACGTGATGCTCCATTTCCTCGACACACGAGGCCGCTCTGAGAATGAATAACCCACCAACAGCTCCACCTGACCCGACAGAAAATACTATTTCACAACACTACCGAAGAATAGCAGAAATAACAGCAATGGCCACAAGGATCATGCTTAAGCATGAGAGGCCTTCTCTCCTCCACTCTGTAGGACAATCCTAGGCACTGCAATGTCTTCAGCCCCAGTGTTTAATAGGGCAGCTGAAATTTCAGTGGTCCAAGCCAATCAGAATGTAAGGCCTGCTTTCTTGAATATCCCCACACACTGCACAGTAGACTCTAACTTTTTGGGTTTTCTATCTGCAATTTCTTGCCATTTCGTACACTTAACTTCTGAGACTTTGTTATATAATATGGGAAGAAGAGTATTAATATATTTATCTTGTTTTTTCTAATTATTAGGAAAATGTCTAAAATCCATACATACTCACTTATTCCATCGATGAGCTATTATGGAGCAACTATTAACCAGGCACCATACCACTTATTAAGTATAAAAATATGACAGAAATATACAGCCTAGGCCCAGCCTCCTGCTCAGTAGTAGCCCTTTGTTACCTGTGGAGAGACATTCCTTCCATGCCTGAAGCCACAGCACCCCAAACCCTATTCATACTGTCTTTTAATGTACTTGTACACTCATGACAAATTTAATTTGCAAATTTGGCCCCCTATGAGGTTAATAACTAATAATGAACTAGAACTAGTAGAGGATAGTTTGAAGACAGAGTGTTTGAAACTTTTTAATTATTTCTGGAATATTCCATTTAACATTTTCAGACATGGTAAAAAGTGAAGCTAACAGCGGAAGGGGCTACTAGAATAGGAAGGACAAACAAACAGAACTATGACACACTGTGGCACACACATCAGGAGGCAGATGTGTAGAACAGATGCAGCTGAAGACCAGTGGTTTGTTCAGCTACAGAAAAGCAAGGCAGGGGGGCAACACTTAAAAAAAAAAAGTCTGAAATGAGTCTGGGGAGCTCTCCCAGCAAGAAGCAAGACACAGTGACCCCAGGTGGGAATATTTCATCACTTCAAACCATCATCCATATCCCTGAAGTTCCTTCAGAGTAGGGACCAAAAAAAAAAAAATTCCAGATTTTTATGAGGTCTCCCCCATGACCCAAGGGCAAGCAAAACATCCAGATGTGTGAGTCACAGCCGTTCTCCCACACCCAGAAAATGCCAGCGTGGTCAGGTCAGGGAGACCCAGCAACACAGTGGCCAGATACCACCCCATGCAGACCAGGAGGCTCTTTATCTTTCCTGGTACCACCTTGTTCACGGTGAACTCTACAACCTCCACCAGAGCAACCAAGCCCTCAGTGGCCAGAGCTGGTTCCTCCAACTGTCTTCCTGGAGGACCGAAAATTCCTGACACTGTTCTGTTTACCTGTGCAGAGCTGAGTGAGCAACCTGGACAGCACTGAAGACCGTGACAACCCAGAAGGACACTGTCCCACAGATGGAATGTCTCATGACCAAGGGAAGAGGAAAGGGAGAGAACAGAAACAAGGCAAGAAGCAAAGAGGACAATGGTTGGCCTAACACTGGCATTGCCCTCTCTCTCCTAGGACACACAACCTCAATGACATCGGCTCAGAAAGGCCACAGTGGGGAGTGGTAGCCAGCTGGCAGGTAGACTAGGGATGTTTGTCTCTCTTCCACTACAGACAAACCTTCCTGTAAGGACTCACTGGGGGCCAAGGATCGCCGGTCTCCCTCTTCCCAGTCTCACTGACTACTAGTGATTGGAGTGTCTAGTTCTGTTCAGTTGTTTCACTAACCCCCAGTTAGTCCACCCTCCCAGAGTCCACTGTTCTGTGCCTCGCCTCTAAAGCCAGCCGCAGGAAATGAGAGAGTCAGCAGACAGAAGCTGCTGTACCTCCACCTGTGCCCTCTTCAGACAAACAGCAAAAGTGGGAGAAGCCAGGATTTGTCAGCTTCATCGAACACCATAACATGATGATAAAGTCCCTTCGCCACACAATTTGGCTGCAGGACATAGAGACACCAATCTCAAACTAACCAGGAAACTTCCTCTCTGCTGGATAATTTTCACAGTGCCAGAAGGTGCTATCCAGACCGTTGGAGAAGAGCTATAATTGATATCCCTCTGCATGCTGCAATACATGCTGGGTCTCAACTGGGTGTGCCCACTGGTGATATAGTGGTATGACTGTTACGTGGGTAACCAACCACTCTCTGATTTGATTTGAGGCATGATCCATAGCACAGTGTTCGTACCTGGCACTGTAAACCAGCTCAAAAGTCTGTGGCTGCTGATCTCACAGGCCCTAGTGCAGAATCTGCCATTGTGACTTTGCTAAACCATCATGTTGCCTTCTAAATATTTGTCAAGCTGCCTTCTAAATATTTATACTCAAAGGTCTATGCTTCTCTCAACTTTGTTTTCTAACCAAAGCCTCTTTTTGCAATGGGCAGCTGTTAATGCAGAGACTCCTAATTAGTTCAAGTGCTTAGAATACGGGACAGTGAGTCCTCAGCCCTAACTGGGACATCTGTATCACCTCCACGAGCCCTAGGCTCAGAGAAGGCCTAGGAAGAGAGGGTAGGAAGAATATAAGAGCCAGAAGACAGGGAGGGATGCCCTGAGTGCTGTCTTCTGGACCTGCCACACTGCTGTAGCGCTCATGACCTCTCTACAGCTCTGGGTCCCTGCACAAGACTGGCACAAGATCAAACCAGTCAGCATTCCAGCATGGATGGGAGGGGGGCCAATGAGCTCCCACCCCAAGTGGAGGAGCCCCGGCAGCAGCTGACAGCTACTAGTGGAGGAGAGCCATTTTTCCTTGGGGGTGTGGCTACTGGTAGGTTGCCCATGCTCGGTAGATAGCCCCACACCCATGTGCACATATGGGCTGTACTGACTGGACTCAGGGATGAGAGGAGGGAGCAGCAGCCATGAAGTTAGGGGACCTGTTGGAAGTGTCCAGGGGCCATTGGAGGGAGGAATAAAGAGCAGATACGATCAGGATTCTTTGTATACATATATGCCAAACCCTACAAGTAAGTTTTTAACTTCATTTTATTCATTTTTTTTAAACTCACATCATTATCTGTCCTCACCTAGTTCCACTACCATCTGACATGACTCCTGCCCCTCGAATGGCTCACCAGCAGGGGTATCCATCGGGTTCTGATGACCTTTGGAGTCACCACTCCCAAGCCAGGAGGTAGGCCTGCTTCAGCAGGCCCCTGAGTTCACTTTTTTCCTTTGCCTACTCAATTTTTGCTCATTGTCCAGCAAGACCAGAAAGCCCTTCCAAGTGAAAAACACACTCTTGCTTCCCAGTCCATCACTCAGAGACACGACCCCCAGCTGCCCTCCAACTCCCATCACTCTCAAGGAATAACAAAGGGTTCCATAAAGTCCCACCTTCAACTCCCTGGCCCGGCTGCAGCCCCTGCCGCGCTGAGACTCCCTCACCCTCACATCCCCTAAAACCACCTAGGCCACGTCCCCACCGAGCTTGCCAGCAGCTGCAGTCACCTGCGGCGGCCCGGGGGCGGCAGAAAGCGTTCGCCCAGCACGTTTCCTTCTGCCGTTCCCTTCCAGGTAGAAAAATGCACCTTCTATTTTAATCGAGGTGTAAACCCACCCCACCTACAGCTACTCTGAAACCCAGGGAGAAAATGAAGTCCCCTGGGAGGAGCCGAGGAGGCGCCGAGGCCACGGCTGCGGGGAGAGGGTGGAAGGTGAAGCCGGGGTGGTGCGGACGCCAGGTGCGCCCCGCAGCCCCTCCGCCCCGCCCGGGCCCGCGCTGCCGGGTCCTAGCGCCGAGGCGACTCCCAGCGGGCGGGGCTGGGGAGGCAGGGCGCGGAGGCTCCCGGCACACGCACAGCGCTGCAGAGGTTGCTAATATTGGGACCTGCCGCAGCAGCAGCAGCGGGAGACCGCGGCACTGCTGTCACCCCGGGGGCCCGCTTCTCACTGCAACCGGAAGAAAGACTTAAATAACCCTCCTTCCCCACCCCCACTGCGCACAACCGCCCACTCAGCTCCATCCAAACCAGGGTGAGTGGCACCGCCAAGAGCCAGGCGCGCCCTTCCCCCCCCCTCCCGCGGCAGACACCCGACAGACCTGCAATACTCTCACCCGGGGTCCCCAGCAAGGGCCGGGTCTTCCGCTTGTCTCCTATCAACACCCTCTCACACGCGCTCGCGCGTACACACACACACACACACACACACACACACACAGTGCGGAACCAGAGAGTAGAGATGTCACTTCCTTGGCGACACCTTCTCCAACCTCTAGGATCGAGGCGGGGTGAGGAACTGGGGTTTTTTTGTTTGATAGTCTAGGTTCTGCCGGTACCTGCAGTCCTTGTCCGCTGACCCCTGAACGCGCGCGCTCCCTGGCCCTGCATCTTAGCACAGATATCTGATGTCTCAAGTGCGCGTGGCAAACGTCCTATCTTAAAGGTGACTGCATTTTTAAAAAAGAAAGAAAGAACGCTGTTGGGGGAAGGTACGTGGAGAGGCCCGGAATGTAAGGGCCATCCATTGACCTGGGCCCAGTTGTGGAGCACCCAGGGTTGGGACCGGGAAATTCACACAATGAAGGTGGCCCTGGCTGGCCGCAGCGCCCCTGCAGCCGTGCGCTCCCAGAGCAACCGGCCTTCTGCTACTGCGAGGCCAGCTCCGAAGCCCTTCCTGGGGCAGCAGTTAACAATAGCATGCCACCCCCTGCACCGCCTGCGCAGCCCTTTGTCACCCCCACCCCCACCCCTTCCCCTGCGGCTGTGGCCTCGCCAGGCCGGGAGCCCCCGACCCACCTCCCTGGCCCGGCGAAGCCCCACGACTCTCCCAAATCCCGCTGCACGCCCCAGAAAGAAGGGGGGAGGGACCCTGCGTAAGACCGCGAAGCTCAGTTCCGACCTCTGGTCTGTCCTCAGCCCCGCCACCAACTCTCCGGCTGCGGTGCGCGCCTCCGGCAGTTCCCACACCGCACACCACCGCCGCGCTGCCTCGGGCGGCGGCTGTCAGTGCCACCAGACCCGCACTCACACACAAAGAGAAAGCTACGGGCAAAAAGGAAAAATCGGACACCCTTCACGCGGCTAGAAGGGTGTCGGCCCCTGTCCTCCCTCCCCCTGGCCCGGAGCGGTCCCCGCAGCACCGAGGGGCGCAGTGGAGCAGGGTGGAAAAGGAGTTAGAACCCGAGCGTGCTTAGGACCGCGCGGAGCAAAAGCAACGCGGGGTCGGGGGCTGAGCCCGCACCTGCCAGCCCTGAGCGCGGGAGGACCCGACTCCCGCTGCCCGGAGCATCAGGCGGACAGGACAGCCCGGCGCCCCGGGACACTCAATCCCCGCCACCGCCCGTCTCCGGTCTTGCTCCGAAAGCTGGGCTCGGTAGCAACCTTTAAGGTGGCCAGCAAGACAAGCAAGCACTCTAGCAAAGTTTAGTCTTCCCTCCGCGACAGTCAGCAGCGGTGAGAAGATAGTTAGGTTTCAAAGGAATAATCGCGGCGACGAGCTACACTTGGTTTTTAAGCAGGGAGAGGACGCAAGTCAGCTGGAGGAATTAACTAGGTTCAGTTTTGAGCCCAGCCTCAGTAATGAGCTAAGGGGAAAACCCTGGGCCTCGAGAATCTGAACTATACCTCCAGGCCTGAACCCTCATCACCTTGGGGCAACATCCACAGTCCACAAAGCTAAACACGTAGTTTAGATTGAGTCCAACATCTGGCATGAAAGCATGAGGAAGAAAAATCACCACAGGACTTGGTTTTACGACCTAGTCTAAGTGTCGTCAGGTGGGTTCACTCAGGAGTTAACTCTTTCCAACAGTCTGGTTGCCCAAACTGTCGATTTTTTTTTTTTTTTTTGTAAGTAAGTAAGTAAGTAAGGGGGAAACCAAGATTCCACACACCCCGCCCCCCTCCCCATCCCCAGGCAGAACTGTGCTCGCTGACTTAGCACCGCACTGCTGAAGGTGCCCCGCCAGGCACGTGTGTGCAGGCATGAAAGTGGGCAGAGTCCCCACCTGAGTCTGCAGCCTTCGCTGCTGAGTCACAAGTACTCTGCTCCGGGCAGGAAATCTTCGGAATGGCCTTTTCAAATGAGCCTGCAGCTTTTGCAAGCGCATGCAAACCCTCACACCAGAAACCCACACAAGGCTTGCACACTGTAGAAATTAAAAGACCGAGGTCCAGAGTCGACGGCTGGAAGATCCAGCACCCCTCGTGGGATTTCGGCCCCTTCCCGGGTCATTTTCCCCAGGAGCTCCTGCCCTGGATGCTTCAGATCTAAAACACGACTTTAGTGTTCCCCACAGAACAGCCAGCAAGCTTTCAGACCGGCCCCAGGAAAAAACAACATATTTAATTTACAGTTCGAGCAGAATACTTATCAGAGGAAAAGGGAAGGGGGAAAACTTAATCAGAGCAAGATACCGACTACCTACAGCAAACTGGGTGGGTGCATTTTGAAGTTCTTAGTGATTGAAGCTTAAAACTCGTGGAATAGATCCATTAAAAAGAAACTTCTTAAACCTGATCTTTTCACATATCTGATAAAACAAAACTTGGGATTCGGGTTATATTAATAACTCATCCCCCCCCCCCCCGTTAAAAAGAAGAAGAAAGGCCTTTCAGTGTAGACTTGCACCAGTGCCAGCCAGAGATCTGCAATTCCGGAGGCTTTTTCCCTCCCTGGGCTGGCAAGACAGGCACAGAGACGGGGGGGGGGGGGGGGGGGGCATGAATATGAGACTACATCCCTTCCAGCATCCCCGCCTAGCCACCGCCTTCCTAGTAGTTAACAATCTGAAATGTCACCGCGTGGACACGGAAGGGTTAAAGGCATACCTACCGAATCGGCTGTGGTCTTTCCTGGTTCCCTGGATAGTACCGTTGGGGAAGATTTCTAAGTGAAATCCAGTCCTGCAGTACAGCTGCCTCCGCCTGAGAATCCCTTTTAAATGATCCAAGTCCGTGACTGCCGGTCCCCGGGGCAGCCCCCCTGCTTCAGACTGACCCAGGTGGTCACTTAGCAACACCGGACTGTCCACCGGCAACACCGGTACGTTCCCGAACGGTACCGCGTCCTGCACACCGAAATAGCTCCCAACTTCACCTAAGGGAGCCATCAGAGGACTCGGCTTTTAAGCACAAGAATAAACAATAATGATCGTTTCAACCAGGAGACACTAGGCGAGGTATATCCAACTCCCCTCCCTTGCCGTAGTTGCAGAGAGAGAGGGAAAGAGGGGTTCTTTTCTTCAATCCATCCAATGCATAAATAAAAGTAATCTGCTGTTTTTCTGGCACAGGTTCAAGGTCAAACCACTGATAGTCTAAGAAGCCACCACTTTATACTCACACACTGACACTGATCAGCACAGCTATGCATCGCTACATATGGAGCCTCGGCTCTCAGCAGGCAGAAAGGTCTTCACCCCATCCGACCGTAATAAGGGAAAAAAATCCGTAGTTTCTCCATTTGCTTAGAGATCAGAATGACCATAGCAACGTAAGTGCTTGGGCGATATTACAGGGATTTTTAAGATGCTCGGGCTACGTCAGAATTTACGGATCCTGACTCCAGAAAGGCATGCGCTGTTTTTACTCTCTAACCGACTCTGCAGACATCAGCATGAATCCTTCAAGGGGGAGGAAAAAAAAAAAAAAACCTCACGTTGGCGGCGGCGACAAATCTCTCCTCCCAGTCCCTCCTCTAAAAAATAAGGATAATATAACAAAAAGAAGAAAAAAACTTTCGGCGTCCAAAGCTAGTATCCAGAACGCTGCAGAGGCTCTGCGGAGGTCCAGAGGCTTGCAATGAGGCGAGCGGCAAGCGGCGGGCGAGGACCGCGTCCCGGAGCTCGCGTGCTGCCCGGGCTGCCGCGAACAGGTGTCGCCGCGCGGGCCGCGCAGCGCCGTGGCCGCGGAGCGCTCCTCCTGCGCAGCCCCCGCCGGCGCGCAGAGTGGCGCAGGCGGCGGCATTGGGCCGGGTTTAAGGTAGCGCGGCGGCCGCCCCGCTCCGCCCGGTCCTAGCGCCCGCCCTGACGCTCGAACCGCTCTGCCGCAGGCCGGGCACAGGCGGGCAGAGCGCGGGACATCTCCGGGAGGAAGACCTGGGAAATCCGGCTTTCAGAGACAAGAAAGCCAGAGACGCGGTGCCACAGGCCAGAAGCAGCAGCCGGGAGACGTTCGGTCACCTGAAATCTAGCTCGCTAGAGACGCAGGCATGGGCAGAGGGGAACTGGGAGAGCAGTTTTCGCGTGGACTCTGTAACCTTGCGTCGCATTATAAAATAGACTTGGAGGGAAGGGTTGGTGCAAGGAGCTTGGTTGGACAGGGCAGTTTCTCTTTCATTCTTCAGGCAGACTCAGAGAAGCGCAAACTATATTGCAGGTAAGACAGTTGGGTGTGGAGTCACATTCTCCTCTCTCTCTCTCTCTCTCTCTCTCTCTCTCTCTCTCTCTGTCTCTCTCTCTCTCTCTCTCTCTCTCTCACACACACACACACACACACACACACACACACATTGGTGCCCCCACACTTGGGTTTTTAGGGTCATTCTGACTCGCATCTTCGGGTGTTTTAGGTCCTGCCTCTGCCTCCCAGGCTCCCGCGGCTAGGTGCAAAGGGCACCCAGGGCTCCTCCTGTCCTTGAGTTCGACTCACGCCCCAGATCTGAATGTGCGTCTTCAGGGAGAAGGTTCCACTGAGTCCCTCTCGCTCCCAAACCAAGCTACTCAAGAAGGTCTTTGCCAACCTGAGCTCTACTTTGCGTGGGAGAAGCGAAAGGCACGAGTTCCACGGTGTCTCTCCATGGCCCGAAGCTCCCTGCGTAGCCATAGAGCAGGGCGGGAGCCGCCGGCCCGGTACCCGCGCTGCTCGCTGTTCAGTGCTCGCTCGCCGCCGCCAGTGCATTTGGAAGCCGAGCTCTGGTTCCGGGCCAGGGCTTTTGCTCGCGGCCAACGGCCTTCGAGCCCAGCTCCAGGCAGGGACAAAGAAACGCACTGCCCGGGGCCACCAGGGGCAGAGCCCACCGGTGGCGCTGTCCGCGCCCTGCCACCCACAAGCGCCCCGGACCGCGAGCGCCGCGTCCCCAACACAAGCACTGCCCCCGCAGCCCGCCCGAAGGCCCGTTCTCTCTCCCCCTGCTCCTCTTTGTTCACATTGTCTTAGACTCTCAGGTCAAGATGGTGAAAGTTGCTAAGACTTGAGCGCAGCTCCTGACGGCGTGCCAGAGAGATGCAAAGTCCAAAGACCAGAGCCATGCAGTAGGGAAGCAAATAAAAGGCTTTTTCTGTGGGAAAAGTCAACCTATGGCGGCGAAGCCCTAGGGCAGGTCCTACTGGGACCAGAGGGTTTTGCCCCAAAGTCGAAGGTAGCAATGAATTTGCAGATTTCGCGGATGCTGGAGGTGCCCGTCCCTGGAGCGACCTTCCCCTGCCCCCGGGGTAGAAGGCGCTCGCGCAGGGCCCCCCGAAGGAGAAGAGAGGAGCCAGGCGACCCTCCCTTCTGTCCACTCCCACACCTCTTTGCCGCAGTCCGGGGTCACCCGGAGTCCCGGCACTGGCTTCGTGCGTGCGTCTGGCTTGCAAGTTTCCACTGCAGAAGAACCCTGCTGTGTGGTATTTATTAACAGCAGTCTCATCCTCGGTGTTTGAGAGCTGACTGTAACGTTAACTGCTCGGTGGCGGATACAAGAAGCTGGGAGGAAGTGACACTTCTCATAAACTATTAGAGTAGCTTGCATTAATCACCCCAGGTCGCCCACAGCCTTGTGTTGAGCAGGGACTCAGCTAGACCCCTTAGGTACAAAGTGCCAGGTTGATTTAAAAAAAAAAAAAAAAGTGGTGGGAGATATGGAGAGAATGAAGTGCAAGAAGGTGCTGTGTAAAGGACTGGAGAACAGGGAGCAGGCATTTGCAGAGGACTGAACTGGGTCGTTTTCCACCAGCTGTCTCCAACCACGTTCTTTCTGTCTGAATTTAGCCTGTTCTCCTCCCAGCAAAGACCATTTCCGCCTCTGGGTCCTGAAGCATCCTGTCCCTTTAAAAGTGATGCAGCAGTGAGAAAGAGTAAAGTAGCTGACCCAGCACTTTTGCAGTGCGCTCTTCCCTTCTCATTCCCACTGCAGTCATTTAGTCCCCTGTTCATCTGCATCCCTACCTCCTACCTCGGCGGCGGCAAGCCCCTTCTTGGCCCCCTGCCCTTTTGCTTGCCCATCGGTTTACCTTTGGTCCTCTCCCTGCCTAGTAATAGAAAGGATGACCTTGCTATCTCCCTGACCTTATTACATTTTTTCCAGGCGCTCACCCCACGCCCGTGGCTAACCTCTTCAAGGTTGCTTCAGAGTTACACCGGAACTGCATTCAGGTTCTAGAATGTTTTACCAGCACTCTTCGAGCGTTACAATCAAATGGTGGGGTGGCTTTCTAGACACTGGCGCTGTGGCTTCCTAGGCACACCTGTCTGGGTGGCAGACTTACGAATAGAAGAAAAACAACATAAAGCAGGCACAGACAATAGATACTCTGGACAGGTGCCCTCGTTATATGCCTCCTATAGCCCTCCGTGCATTTTTGCACATGGGGCATTCAGTCAGTTCTAAACCCCAAACTCTTCCATGCTCTCTCTCCTCCAAGGGCCTTAATCCCTCCCCTTTGACGTTTCTTCCTCCCACCCCCTCACCTTGTATTCTATCAGGTTTGACATTTGCCTTTCCTGCTATCACTGTGGTGTCTGGGCCCAGACTGGAGTAAGTGATGAGAAGTCAAGGGACTATGACAATGAATGAGCACCCCAAGAGTCCACAGATCTGTAACAGGGGATCCAACATACCTCCCCTCTCACTGCTGCCTTGCACCCTGGCTTGAATGCATGCAAGGAAGCATGGCCTATGTGCTGTAAGTGCTCCACACATTTCAAGTGACCATTTGTCCTCTTCACCTGCTCTTGCTTTGTTCATTAATTTGTGTGTCCTATATTGGTTTTGTGCACACCTGCATACACGCACACACACACACACACACACACACACACACACACACACAATCAGCACAGAATCTCTCATCCCCTTCCAGAAACAATAACTGCATATCCAGGCCACAACCCTTCTCTTTCTATTTCCTCCATTCTCCCGTCCCCAGCCTCCAACCCTGCCATCCACTCATGGCATGGGGTGAAAGGCAGGTGGTTTGGGTTCCCAGACTGACCTCATGGAAAAGTTTGGACTTGGTAGGGCCTGGAACCATTGCAACAAGCCCTGGCCTGCTTCCAGGGGGACAGACACTCCAAGTGCTTTCATGCCTTAGCCATTTTACTCTCAAAACTGACTTTGTACTGTCAATACTATTTTGTCACCTTTTTTTTTTTTTGGGTTTGGTTTTTCAAGACAGGGTTTCTCCGTGAAGCCCTAACTATCATAGAACTCAGTTTGTAGACCATACTAGCCTTGCGCTCACAAAGATGTGCCTGTCTCTGCCTCCCAGTTGCTGGAATTAAAGGCACATTCCACCATGCCTGGCTTTGTCGAATTTTTCCTAATAAGATTGTGGTTTATGAAGATTGAGTAGCATATCATCCCATTGCTAACAAATGGTGGAGCCACGTTCATACACCTCAGAGCCCCAAGGCACAACACTACCATATATGATAAGAGATGACTTCCTGGGCATAATGGTGCACACCTATTGTCACAGCAGTCAGGAGGTGTGAAACTAGATCGTTGAGAGTTCAAAGCCACCCTATATCTTAAAAAGAACAAAAACCAGACCTTGTGAGTAACAAAGTAAATATAGAGACATAAATAATGAGTATATGTACTTAACAACCTGTTATTCTGAATATATGTAACACACTTAGATAAATTTTATATATATACTGTTACAGCCAGGCGTGGTGGCACACAATAATCACAGTGCTCAGAAAGCAGAGGCAGACAGATCTCTGTGAGTTCGAGGCCAGTCTGGTCTACAGAGTGAGTGCTAGGACAGCCAGGGCTACAGAAAGAAAAACAAACAAACAAACAGACCCAGTTACAACAGGAAGGAAAGGATAAGAGCGAGAAGAGCCCCAGAAACAATGTTTTAAAAAATGTGCAGGAACCATCTGAAGAATGTTTTCAAATCTCCCCGTGGACACAAAAGACTTGAACAAATAAAAAGACATGGTATTCCTAAAAAGAAAAAAATCCCAATTTTGAAACTATATAATCCTTCCTAATCTAAAGGCTTACCATGATTATAATAAAAAATGCCAACACATTGTTTTATTAGCCACATTGATGCTAAAGATAATATTGAAAATTCAACTGGCAAATTTTTGACAAAGAAAGAAGTTAACTGAGGTTAACTAGTCATACAATAATTTCAAGTATTTTTAAATTCCGGTAAATAAAACAGAGCATTACCATATAAATAACTGAATAGAGCAGCAATAGTCTATAAATTTCTTAAAAATCTGAGTACACATTAGAATCTAATATAAGATAATTAATGAGGCAAATGAACTAGTTAGTAACTGGTTCTAAAAGAGCTGAGGAGGCATCTGGGAGAAAGAGTTTTCCTTCACACTTGAAATGAGGCTAGAGCTCAAATGGATCAAATGCTTAAGTGGAAATTTAAATTGTAACAAGTACTAAAGAAACAATGGAGAAATCCCTCTACACTCCCAGTGGAAAAGCCTTTCTAATTGAATTGCAGAATTCAAATGCCCCAAAAAGAATGCTGAAAAATACAACCACACACAAAATATAGCTCCACAAGAGGAAACCAAATTCAGAAGTTGAAAGGTGGAATAGAGCCCGGCTGTGGTGGCGCACGCCTTTAATCCCAGCACTTGGGAGGCAGAGGCAGGAGGATCTCTGTGAGTTCGAGGCCAGTTCCAGGTCTACAAGAGCTAGTTCCAGGACAAGTTCCAAAGACCCAAAGAAACCCTGTCTCAAAAAAACTATATATATATATATATATATATATATATATATATATATGTAGACTAGAACAAACTGTGCATATCAAGTCAAAGGGCTGATTTTCCTCTCTATGAACGAACTAAAAATGATTAAGAAGCAAGCAGCCTCTGCTGGGCACAGTGGGCACTTTTCTGGAATCCCAGCACAATGGGAGGTGGAGGTAAAGGCCTGACATAGCAGTTCAAGACCAGATGACCAGAGGAGACCCTTTCTTAAAAGGCTAATAATAGTAACAGTGATGATGGTGGTGGTGGTAATAACAATAACAATGATGGTCTGGCGTGATGGTGGTGGTGGTGGTGGTGGTGGTGGTGGTGGTGGTGGTGGTGGTGGTGGTGGTATTAACCATAACAATGATGGTCTGGCATGTGTTTGACACCCGAGTCCAGAAGTCATCACTCCCA